TATATATATATATATATATATATATATATATATATATATATATATATTTATGATTTGGTACAGGATTATGCAATTGCTTCATATGCAAAATTTTAAGATTTTTCTTTAGTGACTATCATAGAAAGTTGTATCTATTTTTCCCTACCAGGATCTTTAAAGGTCACTTGAGAGTTGCATCCCATACTTGTATTACATCTTGTATACCATTTGCTTAATTAGATTTATATGACAACATTTCAGTCACTTGAGATTTGCCCAAAGCTCTGAAGTAGCCTGGGAACCCTACCTGTGACGTTGAGAAGTCTGCGAAGACGGCTAGTTGGTAGATACAGTTGTTACGCCTACCTCGATTACTAAAGAGCTTCCCAAGTTTCCGCGTTCCCACCGGCAAAGGCTGTATTCCTGCTCCGAGGGGATGAGTTGATTTAACTGCCCGTGATTGCATCTTTAGAGCATATTTCTCACGAATGCTGCCTATCCTCCCACTGATTTTCAGAACAAGTACAATGCCCATATATTGTAATCAAGGTTTTCCTCTTAAATGCTGGTCATGTTTCAAAGGCTTCCTAAGCAGTCTACTTTCGTGGAAGATTATGCTTGAGACGAGCTGAGAATGGAGCCTGACACATAATAAGGATGCCGTAAATGGTACCTTTTTCGTGACTTTGTTGGATTTTGCTTACAACTTTTATGTGCTTTTATAGAAATTCTTTGGAATTCCTTTTTATAGTGAAATTCAAGTCTCATTATAAAACTGAAGCTCTCTGGTTTTGGAAATGCTAAATTTTGTACAACATTTAACTGAGCAATCCATTGCTATCACCCTACGCATGAAAGATCATTGTTTTAATAATTTATTGTAGGTCCTTTGTAGAGATAGTCCTGCTTTATTCAATCTATAGGAAAAGTGTGTTATTTTCTCAAAGCTACCTGGTGAGAATACTAATTTTTTTTTTGGTCCTTCCTAGAGTTTCTCTGAAGTACTATTATCTCATTGTACTGTGTGGATAAATATTTAATTTCAAGAGATTTTTCTGGGGTTCCTGAAGGTTTAATAGAAAGGTCTAGAATGTTTTATTTTTATGTTTTTTAGATTTGTGTATTTGTGACTGTGTGTAGTTTATGCTTGTGTGCATGTGGTACATGTGTGAGTGTGTGTGTGTGTGTGTGTGAGAGAGAGGGTTTGTTGTATGGCATTTTTCTACAGTGGCTTTTCCATCTTCTGTTTTTTTAGTCAGAGTCTCACATTGAACCTGAAGGTGACCATTTCTGCTAGAGTAGCTGGCCTGCATTCTCTGGGATCATCATGGCTCTATAACCAGTTCTTAGATTACATACCTGCTGTCACACATGACCCAGGTTCTGAGGATGTCACCTCTGAACATGTTTGTGCAGTAAGTACTTCACCCACTGAGACTTTTCCACAAACCTTGAGCCTTTTCGCTGCAATGGAAAGTTTTCTTAAATATTTGCCCTCTGTCCTAAAGCTAAGACTAGAATCTCAGAAACCTTGAATTTCAGTTTGCTTCTTGAAAAATGCAGTCATATAATCTTTTGTCAATGTAACAGACAGTAATTACAATTTCTAAAATAAAATCATAATTAAATTAAACTATAGTTTTTAAGAAGTATATCCAGATTAATAAAACTATTCAGTTAATGAATTACAAGTTGGAACAAAGACTTACTTCCAAATAGTGCCGAGTTTGATGATATCATTATTCATTTTGTGGTCTCAAATATCTCAGCAGATCAAAACCAAAGAATTTTTGTTAAATTAACCTACTTTGATGAATGTTTGCCTTTCCCACTTGTGTGACATATGGTAAAGCATGGATGAGTTTGAGTCCTGGGAGCATCTAGCAAGCAGTCTTCAGCAAGAACCCTCAACAGGATCAGTCTTGTCTAAGTTCACAGAAAGGCAATTTTTTTTTTTTATTTTTTCCTGGTCCCTTCTCTCTTTTTTTTTTATTGGATATTTTATTTACATTTCAGATGTTATCCCCTTTCCCCATTCACCCCCCCCCCACACACCCAGAAACTCCATATCCCATCCCCCCTCCTCCTGCTTCTATGAGGATGTGTCCCCACCTACCCACCCACTCCCACCTCTCTGCCCTCGAATTTCCCCACACTGGGGCATCTAGTCTTCACTGGACAAAGGGCTTCCTCTCCCACCTAAGCCCGACAAGGCCATCCTCCACTACATATACCGCAGGGGCCGTGAGTCCCTCTCTGTGTGCTTCCAGGCTGGTGCTCCTGTCACCTGCATGCACTTCCTGGCATCCACATCAGCATCTGCCTTTGGTGACTGCACATACGATGGATATTCAGGTACAGCAGTCTCTGGATAGCCCCTCCAGGAAGGCAATTATTTACCAACTGTGACAACAATTTATATGAAGAGAAAGATAAGGTTGTGGTTGTGAGGGCGGGGGCAGTGGTAGTGGGGAGGAGGCTACAGACATCTTCTGGGAAGCAACACTGGAAATGATCTGAGACAAAGTTTCCTTTAGCCAAACAACAATTGAATTTAGCAGAGTAAATAGTTCACTTCTTTCTGACTACTAAACTAGTTAACCCTGCATGACAGCCTTAGGACACGATATTATCACACTCTGTAGATAACTTGTTTAAGAATGTTAACTTACCCAAGTCTTGTGAATTATGTGAAGTTCACAAGTTGTGTTGACCCTGGGAAGCAGTTTTGGTCACTGAAGCTCACATAGAACATAGTTTAGATAGTTCATTTAAATTATTAAAAAAATGCTGTTTATCACATTCTGAGGCTAGAAGTCTGTTAGTCCAAAGCCTAACCCCCAAGGAGCTTCCAGCTTATTGATTGTGACAACAGCTTGAGATACATCAAATGCTAGGAATGAGATACAGGGATTCCCATGGTCACACCTGTGATTGGAAAAACAATGTTCTTCCCTTGTTGATGACAGAATCCAAGGATCAGTTGCCTGGGGTTCCTAGTTTTCCTAGTTATGATTCTGAGTGTGAGATGAAGACTTTGGTGAAGAAGGAAGAAGTGACTGCAGTTAGCAGATGACAAAAATCTAGAATTAGTAAAATGCTACTCATCTCACTGGAGAGGGAGTTGGATGTGGTGGGGCATTGGCTCCCAAGGGTGCTGACTTAACCTCATAGCTCATGTTAAGCAAGTGTGGCTGAGAGTGGGAAGAGCTATTTAAAGAGGCAGCTGATAACATTTCTTAACCTTGGCTCTCCCACAGGAAGAGTGGGAGGGAGAGCAGTAGAAAACAGTGGTAGGCAAGAGGAAACAGAAGTTATCTCTTGGGCAAGGAGGTGGGGCCAGGGATGAAGAACAAGAAGAAACTAAAGGTGCTGATGTTTCAGATTTGCACAGGGGCCCTCTGACCCCTTTGAATATCTGAAGACTGGGAAACCCCTTTGGGGAGACTCATATCTCTTTAAGGGGTCCATTAAGGTCAGGATGAATTGTATCATCACATGGGTTGGCTAGTTGCCTTGTTTATCTGTTACCAACAATTCTGGGGAATCCCTTTGCAGCTTCCAGATGACACTGTGAAAATCAGGGTACCTTCTTGGAGCTCTTAGTCTTATTGGTAAAAATTTAGAGACAAACTCAAATAAACGCCTGAAGACAATTTTAAAAGAAATACTCCACAATGAGAGAGCTGTAAAACTCATGAGCTGCTTGGAAGAAGAGTCTGAAGGGAGAAGGAAAAGAGGATGTGTCATTTGAGTGACCTCCAAGGAGGTCAGCCACATACTGAGGAGGGGAGCTTTAAAGAAAGAGTGAAGCCCAAGGCATTAGTGAATGCATGCTTAGAAAAAACAAAGAAAGGAGAAAAGGAACAAAAAGGTATCTATTTTTTAGAAAAATTCATACATAGCCATATCAAAGTAGCAGGTCTGCTCTCTCTAAGAGTCTGAGGTGGGATCCTTGAGAGGTAAGCACACAGTGTCTCACTTTTTTTTAAAAAAATCAAATCATAATTTTTACTTATTCACACAGGGGTTATAAACACAAAAAGGCAGGATGTGGGGAAGGGGATGACGCAGGAGTGTGGGTGTTCAGGGGGAGTACAGATATCTTTCAGAACATGGTATCAGCTGGGTGAAGGTTCAGGGGACAATTCACTATGACTCTGCCTATGACTCGCTTGTCCTTATCTAAGTTGGTCTTATCTGCCAAGGCTATCTATTTACAAGGTCTATGACTACTCAGGCTGGTAAATTTCCACAAAAGCTGCCTGTTTACAATAGCTTATAGCTCTCTGTTTCAATGTTTTTCCACAGAGACTCAACACTTGGTGTTAGTACACATGTATGACAGACCTATTGCTGATTTTAGGCCTATGGCTGATTTTAGGCCTTTAGTGTATAAGCAGGACTGCCCCTGACATCTCCTCCCTTCTCTAAGTATAGAAGGGCTGTGGCGATTCTGATCTTTTGAAGGCAGGGATAGAGTCCTCACCTCCAGTAACTGAAGGGGACTTTGTAATGGCTCTGGTCCCCCTGTTGTTGTCCAGTGAGGCATGACTATCTCACTTTTTAAAGGGTTACTATATTGCCTATCACCACAGCATTGCTTACGATAAGCTTGCCTTCCTAGGAGTGGTCCTACATTGTGGGTGGTCTGTTGGCCAAGTGATTGACTAGTCCAATTGCAATGTCAAGTTTTCACTCAGGCAGGCATTTCATTCTCTTCACTAGAAGGACTTTATTATACCTTCATGAGCCTTCACAGTTTCTGTGGTACTTCTGGATTCAAAATCTAGACTGTCATAAGGCAAGAATCTTTCACGATAAAGTTCGGAACAGGAATAAGAATTTGCCACTAGATATATATAAACCTTGCTGACTTAGAAAAATTCAACGGTGAGAGTCCATCATAGTTTATGTGTCTCTCTTCTCTGCCCTTCTTTGAAAGCATTTGTAAGGATCTTGCAATATCATTTTAATGAGGTTCTGTAAAGTTACTGCCCATTAAGAGGTTATTCAGGGCCTTTCAGGGAAAGTATATAAAATAGGCACGCAGAAGAGGAGGAAACATTAAGTCTGGAAGGGAAAATGCTGAAAAAACAAGCCTAAAGCAAAGACAGTGTGGAGTGACTGTTGGACATAGGTCAGTCATGTCTTATGAATAGAGACATCCTGCCAGATGTAAACTCAAAGGAAATGTAGCATCAGGGCAGATCTTGGTAGTCCTAAAGTCACCAGAGCCTTCCCATCCCCTTTCAGGATTTGGTGGCCTATTGAACACTGGTGGAAGTGTTTTTAACTAAGGTAGACTGTCTCAGGACTGCTTCATTTTTACTCCCTGAATTGTGGTTTTTACATTTCTATCCTTCCTTAGGCTTTTGTGAGGGAAAAAGTACTTGACAGGACACTGAATTCTTAGTTCTAATATTAAATCTTTCAAGGAAAAAGGTGAAACTCTTCCTTTGTCCTTCCTCCTTCCCCCTCAGCAAACCTTTTATCTAGCTTCTTTGTCTGGCTACAGAGGAGCAGCTTGAGTTCTTGGACAATTGCACTGTGCATACTTAACCAGTCGTCACATAATTTCTGATTACATTATTGATAACGGTGACAATAGCAGCGGTCACAGTATTCCACTTTCATGCTTCACATTCATGGAACAGCTCGAAGCATTAAAATTACAGTCTTTTGTGACCAGATCATCTTAATGCTATGTCCACGTACCAGGATAACAGTAGTTATGTGCTAGGGATATGGCCTCTATTTTACAGGTGAGAAAGTTGAGGAACTGCATTGGGGGTGGTGTAAAGTAATTTGCTGAAACTGCACAGCCAGAAAGTGGTAGAGCTAAGTTTTGAACCTGGCTGGACTGTTGTTTAGCAAAAGTATGAAAGCAGTTTGCATAATAAAAGCAAAAATATGCTACATGTGAGATGGGGTACCCTTGAATAACCCCACTTTTTGATAACCGAGCATTGAATCTTTTACCATATTTTTGCCACATGCTGAGTTGACTTAACAGTTGTAGTTGTTGTTATTACTCTTCTGTTAACATAACTTATATTTTCTACACTAACATTGTATGAATTGTGAGCTATATAATTTTTTGGCCCTTAAGAATACAACTTATTTTGCTAATCCAGATGGCATCTTACGAGACTGCCAAAATACATAAAAACCATAATAATATCAACATCTCATTTTAAAAGGAAAAAACACCCCTCCATTTTGAAAGCTCAATTATTTAAACTCTGGAAGCTTCAATCTGGAGGTCTTTTGGAACTTCACCTATTGGTCATCAGAGAAGCAGAGTCTCTTAAAGGAGAATGAGAATTCCCTTTCTTTTTCTATGCTCAGAAGGCTCTAGAGAGCATAGCCCAGCAGGTGTTATCAGTAGCAATTAAACCGTGAAGC